AGATAGTATAGAAGAATTACCAAGGCCCTTTTTGTATGATCTTTTCAGAGAAAGGAAAAGGGATTCTCGTTGGCTTTTACATTAATTTAGTATTCCTTGAATTCCATATATTAGTATCTCAGGGGGCATGTTTCTTCTCCTAATCTTAATTTTTTTAAGTTCAAATCTTAAAGTCATCCTTCAATGAAATTTATGGCGTCTCCAAACAACCATACACCACCCTTCATTATTCTTTGTAGCCAACCTCGTCCAGTAACTCCACTTGAATGTAGATCTAGCAAAACAAGAATGATGCATCGTATGCGCTCTCCATCCAACACCATTTCACCATCGAGCAAGGTCATGGATCTACAAACCCCACCTTTCTACTTATACCCAACGCCATAAAACTCATCCTCAACACCCAAACTCAAAAATCAAGCAACTCCCACCTCAAAAAATCATCGTCATCTGCCTATCCATTTTATACATGTAATACTAATACTTTATGTCATATAAAGGACTCGTCGGTTAAGCCCTGATCTGATGGTTTGATTGGAGAACAGGCGACCTGTCACCTCTGCTGGGTTAAGGTCCGTTCCAGTAATGACAATTTTGCTCCTCCTAGTAGCAGGACGGATCCGACCATGTTTCGTCACATTTGGGGCAGGCCAATCCGATGAATCAGATCATAAGCAATCGGCAAAGAAATAGAAATACTTCCACCGGTACTATTTCTCGGTGGGAACATCTACGCCAATGGCTGTGACGCTGATTTTCTATGTCCGGTACGGCATTGGATGGGCTTGGGGGCTTGGAATTCCAACCATAGCAATGTTTCCGTCAATGCGTTTGCTGGTGGATACCCACTTTACCGGAACCTGGGTCCAGCTGGGAGTCCATTTACTAGATGGTTACAAGTATGTGTGGCTGGCTGCATTTAGGAAGAGCAAGCTATGGTTTTGTATTATTTGTCCTTTTCTTGCTTATAGTCCAGTGATATTTGTTTTAGTTGCGATAAGATATCACAAACTACAACTCATGATCGAACCAAATTAGAATGGATTGAGTCATGGCATATATGCACTTACCTAACCTTTTCGATGCCTTCTCCTTACAGTGAAAATCGATAGATTTAGATCACCTTGTTGGGCACAACACATTCCCATCATCTCTTTTAAATAATGGTGGTGAATGACTTCAAAACGTATGCAGATGAGTAACATCAATACATCACCTAAATTGAACCATCAAGTAAATCGTCCAGAAACTAAAACTTTATTCTCCTATCATATCAGTTTCTCGTGTTTGAATTGTATAGTTGCTAATATTAATAATTATTAAAAACTTATTTTATTGTTAATTTTAATACTAGTAGAGATTAATTGAAACGCAAGCTAATTCGAATATTCATATAAATAATGCGAATGGCTCAATATAAGATTTACACGCGTGGTTCCACCTTCATCCTGCTTCTTCTGTTTGGAAAATAGAAGACAAAACAAAAAGAAGCATTGATTATGACATGTAAGTATCAAGTTGCAATCAACAACTAACAGCCTTAATGCTGTGCAGATAAATTTTTTTATCCTCTTAACAAGTTCGTACTTGACGATAATATGTACCAATTCCCAGATTTCTTGATAAGGCTGCAATCGTGACTGAAGATGACAACCACCAACCACGCCAAGCATCTAAACTATGGAAACTAAATACAGTGCACACAATCAAAGACCTTAAATCTGTCTTCGGAGTGGGACCGTTATGGCCAGCAGGAATTTTCCTGCCACAGCACAGAACTTGCAAAGCTCATTTTCCCTCCAACAAGCCCAGTTCATGGACAAGCATCTCGCAAAGTCTTTTCAGATTCCTTCAAGTCTGATGCGAGTCCTCGCCACCACGTCCAGGTTCACCACGATCGCATTATACTATCGAATTTTAGTTCTTGTTGCCCGTAAATTCTCAGGGCTCCAACATGGCATCAATTTCCTAAAGTGGACGGAATCAGGTTTGTGATATAAGTATTATTCATTTTATAGTATAATATAAATTATTTTTAAAATTTTATTTAATAATTTAAATTTTTAAATTAAATTAATTTTTTAATATGGTATTAAAGTTTTGATAATTCATCAGTTATAAATTCAAATATTATAATTCTTATTTATTTAATAAAAAATATAAAATTACGTAGATCTATAAAAAATTTAAATTCAAAAAATTTTTATTAAAAATATATATTATAAAATAATATAAATTATCTAAAATTTTGAATTGATTTAACATTTTTTACAGCTGTCATCACTTTTCTGTCTGACGGGAATTGCTGATGCCTTTATGTCCATTGGCAAGCTGGAGTTTTACTATGATCAAGCACCAGAAAGCATAAGAAGCATTTCAATGGCGTGATATTATTCTTTAATTTCGGTTGGGAGCTACTTGAGCTACATTTTGGTCACCGTAATGCCCAGATTTAGTGCTCGCCCCAAGGGATCAAATTGGCTTCCCGATGATCATCTGAATACAGTGGAGCTGTGGTATTTTTAATGGTGGATCACATCTCTGCAGATCGTAAATCTATTTCACTACTTTTTTCAGAACACAGATGCATAATTAGAAGCAAATTCAAGCCCCCAGGGAAGAAATCAATGACCCTGGGAAAATTGTAGAATAGGATACCTGTGTATGATTTGACAAATAGGTTTTCTACATGATGTACTCTAACGTTATTTGCTGCTCAATTGACACCTTTTTACTAACGATAGGAAGCTATCTGAGATTTTAGTAAGTAGCAGTAAGGATTCATTCTTTGAATGAAATACATGGCATTTCTTAAAGAATCAAATTCGAAACCAAAACACAAAATGATAAAGAAAAACATTGAAATTGAAAAGGAATTAACGAAGGAAATTGAAAACGAAAAGAACTTGAATAAAACCCTAGATGTTCGTAGATAGTCTCGTGCAAAGGGAAAGAGAGTTTGAGTTATTACTCAATTGCTGATTGAGTCCATAACTCGGGCCTAAATAGGTAGGGTACGTAAGATTATCAAAAGTAATAAATTTTTATTATTCAATAAAATAAAAATACAATCTAAAATAAGTTAGTCAGAAAAATAAAGCAGAAATTAAGATAAAAATCATCACAAAACTAAGCCTCCAAAAATTACCGAAATGGCAAATAAAAAAAACACGAATATAGAGAAACGGAGACCTGAACGATTGAAATTTAGGTTCAAAACGACCCCAACAAGCATAGCTAGCAGTTCACCATGTGCTCCCCGAAACGAGTTTCATGAATTGGGATAACTAGCATCGTTCCGATGCCAATAGCCAAAAGTTTAGGCCGAAATTCCAAAATGTGCACAAAATATATGATACAATTTAATTAATTCCTTTCGTTTCCCAGGCTAATAGTTTAATTTTCAAAGAGACGTACGATGATTAAGGAGATATATTTATTTTCTTAACTTCCTAGATTCAAATCCCGAGAACATTACCTAATCTAGAGTATTTAATATCAATTGACATACAAGAGGTGATAAGTGTAGCATGTAAATAATTGAAAGTTTGAAAAAAGAAAAATCAATTGGAAAAAAAAATGGAAAAAATTAGAGATATTTAAAAAAATCAGTATTTTTTTCCTTTTTTAAAATGAAATTTAAAAGTATTCCTAATAAATATTAAAAATGTTTTAAAAATACCTCACCATCCTATTGCTCTGACACTTGATGCATAAATTCAGGCAAAATAAGAACACCAGGCATTCATACACGTAAATATACATCGAGCCAGGCAGGGTGGTCTTGATCGCATCAGGGCTTTGATTGAGCAGTTTCTGGCTATTGAGTCTGTTCCTGCCCTTTCAAATCTTCTTGTTCTTTTCCTTTCTCTCTTTTTTCTTCCATGTCCATGGCATATTTTTGTTAGTCGAATTGATTAGTTAATTCGCGTTTATGAAATGGATTGAATCATAGTAGTTTAATGTTTCCTAAGGTTATGTTCTTGTGCAAACTGACATTTAGGTTGTTACTTCTATTGTGATTACTCGAAGCCGCTACAACAGCTTATCCGCAAGTTTGTGCACCATGCCATACGGGGGCTGTTAAGACGACAGTTTATGCTGGGATGCATACTCTTCCAACAAGGGACCAACTTCTACTGAATCCCAATGAAACTGGCGAGCTTGTGTCCGTTGTTATAACATGTCTCGCATGTGTAAACAGTTTGATGCATACGCAGTGTCCTTTCATGCTAAATGATGTTGTTCCATTTTCTTCGGTGATGCTTTATCATTATAGCTTCGACTGAACACATGCCACCATTGGGATCGGTTAAAATTCAAATTTAGTCTCCTCTTCCTGAGGATTTACGTTGTAATTGTAGTTGTAGATCAGTCAGCGGAGAAGAATATGAGAAGGTATATCAATGACTCGCTTCCAGTCATCGAGTATATTGATAGGCTTCAGATTTCCAGGAACATCAGCTTGGACCTCTAATTCAGATATTATGGCCATGGCTAGCGCAACGTATTCATATAGTTGACAGGATTGTTTTGGTTATTGATCACCACCATACAAATCATGTAATATCATAATTAGCCATAGTCCAAACACCTACCTGAATCCTTCAGCAACATGTTAGATTGTATTTTGGTTATTTATCCCACGTTTCAATGTTAAGGACTTGGTCCTGGGGAAGGCTTTGTCTTCGTTTACGTTGTTTCACTTAAGCATATGCCCTTCCTTTCTAGACTTTAATGCCTGCTATTAGTGAGTGTCCTCTTGGGTTTCTGTCCACGAGATGTTGTTCTGATGCCTGGTAGTGAATCTCTTTTTTGAATGGAAGAAATCTGGTAGTTTTGAAAGTGGTATATCATGAAATTTATGATCCAAATTGGACGCATTACATGAGCTCCTTCTGGTTCCAACCACCGATTCGCATTCCAGTTTTACCACCCTTATCAATTCGCAGGGGGGGGGGCGGCGGGATGGGGTTGATTCTTAAATGTTTTACGCTTCAAAACCAATCTAACAGCACAGACTTGATACCCACCGTTATCCAAATTTATCATCAAAAGATTTATCCAAATGCAATGTTTGCAGCAAAACATTACCCCGGCTTCTATCAAAAACATTCAAGAACTAGCTCGTTATTCTGATCTTTAAAATTATAATCAACAGTATCTGTCCTGGTACTGAAACTCTTACAAAATCAAGATAAAAGGAAATACAAGAAGCACGGTATCACCCAGGCAGTGCAAAACATTACCCTGGCTTCTGTCAAAAACATTCAAGAACGAGCTCGTTATTCTCATCTTTAAAATTATAATCAACAGTATCTGTCCTGGTACTGAAACTCTTGCAAAATCAAGATAAGAGGAAATACATCAAGCACGGTATCACTTAGGCAGTGCAAAACCAGCTCCATATGCCCAGTGCTCTTCTCAATAGACATGCCATCTTCTCGCCAAAGACCAAAGAATAGGGGCCATATTCAACTGCATTCTTTCTATAAAAATCTCGAAAATTTATAATGTCAGGCTTTCTGGGTTCTCAACAATCTTAGCAAAGGTCTGGAGGAAGGCAGCCAAGTCAGCACCGTAGACGATTCGGTGATCAGCTGTCACATTCACCTGAAAAGAATCAAAGACCAATTTAATTAATAGTATCCTATAGAACCATTTGCTTAGAAGGAAAGCTGAGAGGTACATCCCGTGCAAGCTATGGAGCTCTTTTGTGTTTGATGTTTAACAACATCAAATGACCAAATAGCAACATACTTTGATTTTCAAGAATATCAGATAACATATAATAACCTACAAAGGGCAAGCAAAGGGACCTAATGCATGACAATCCCATTAGCAATAAGAGATATTAATCTATCTTAGAGGATAGGTGCCAGGTACCATAAATAATTAGAACAGCACGAAAGCAGGGCTTTTGTTCCCCTCCAGGGAGCATACAGCACCTGAGGTTCGCTCCTATGACTTTTCCATTGATGTTTCCTCCTTAGAGCTAAAACTCTGGTTGCCTTTCAAGTTAACATCTAGTTGAAATATCATTTTCCAGCGACAGTATTTCAACTAGCAACCAGTGAAATTTTTCAAGGACAAAATTCCAAGAAAAAGACATAAAATGAGTTCCTATACCTATAGTTTCAAAATTAATTCTAGTTTGCATACTCTGATGATTTAGTCACAAAACATTTCAAGGAGAAAAGGGCCAATCACTTGAGCATGAGACAACCATAGAGGTTTTGCATAATCCCTCCTGAAGTATGAAACCAAATAATTGTGAGACAAAGGTCACTTAACATCACTTAGTGATCCTGTGTATTTAACTAACCCAGTGCCCCTGCTCCTCTGAGAACAAACGCAGACAGACCCCGAAAGGAAAATAGATAAATTGATTACAAAAAAGAAGGTTGAGAAGCTTGCCAGGGCACTTTTAAGTAGAAATAGTGGGTTTTCTTCTGGTAAAATAATCCAAAGAGGTAAGAACACATGGCAGCATTTTTAGGCACCTCGAGTTGTGGTTCATACACCAAAACAATGATATTGTTTTTCAAAATGGTGACAAGGAGGTCCATGATCAAACTGCTGATGAGAAAGTGTTTGCATCTAATACACACAAGTTATCTGATGCAATTGTACTCCTTGAACTATGATTCATCCAGGAAAGTGAATTGCATTTCAGACTAATCATCAGTAGATTAAAGCTTATCAATGTTAGCTTTTAGCACCAGGAATAATTGATGCTTACTGTGAAATGTAAATCACTTTCTCAGATGAACAACAAACCATATGCTAAGGTCAATGGCTATGCACTAGTAAATCTTTTGTTCTTACAGCCCCACTCCACTCAAGGACCTCTGATCCACATGAAACAAACTAGATTATGGATCTAACAAAATATTTTACCTCTTTGACTACTATAATAGTGTCTTCAAGTTGAATTGAACCAAAGAGAACTCACTTCTAACAGTCTGAGGTTAAATTAAAATCACATGATGCCACAATAATCTCATAAAATTTACACTTCCCATCGTCCCTATCCATTCCAGTCTTCCATATTTCAGAAACTAGTATGAACTACATCACTTCTAACCCATGAAACCAGCAGATTTGTCAAGCATAACCACTAATGACATATATTGGAGTCACTGAGCTAGACAACTTAACCACTGGAAAGCTATGCAGTGTAGAAACCAACATCCAGAGCCATCTATAAGCCTCATGGATATGTACAAGGAATTCCTAATTTGAAGGCTACTGATCACAAAACTACGAGAGAAAATTATAATAGCATGTTGTCCATAATTCAAGGCAATGAGCTGAAAGATTTATTTAGGCCAGGGGTGTTGATCTATTGTTATTTTACTAATAATAAGTGAACTTGGGAAACGCTTTAGCTGAAATAAAATAACCACAAGTCAGTGTCAAATGAAGATTTGAAGAGAATTTCACTTGATCTTTCACGAATTTCCTTATTAGTCTTATGCAATGCCTGACATTGGCTCAGCTCATGTGCTGATGAAGGAAAATTTTAGTGATAGTTCTGAGTAATTATGTTATACATTCCACCACAGAAGGCTTCAAGTTTCCCAAAATTTAATCAATTGGTAAAAGGAAGCCATAAGTATGAATTACAGGAGGACAGTTACTGATAATTTCAAAACATGAAAACTGACATCAAAATTGATTTAAAAGAAAAATGTTCTATGATGGTCTATAATTTTTTCAAACCTTTGTTTGTTTTCAGACAGAAAATGATAAAAGAATGGAAATCTCACTCACCAGCATTTTACTTTTAACACTGAAGAATCCATCTTTATCAGCCACCACGGTTGGTTTTGATGCTCCAACAGCCATTATAGCCCCCTGAACATTGTTTCCAACTTTTTAGTAAATTTCTTAAAAGTCATGACATAAGAAAAAGGACCTGTCTATCACTACTCACCTGCCCTGGAGGAAGAATGGCATCAAATCTGTCCACTCCAAACATTCCTAAATTGGATAGAGTGAAAGTCCCTGCGCACAAATAGAGTTAGAATTATCACTCCAAAAAGATTTTTAACACGAATCCAAGCCCCTAAGAGGATACAGAGAGAGAAAGAGAGAATAAAAAACTTAAATAGTAGAAACCTGAATTATACTCCTGGGGCTGAAGCTGCTTTGCTCGGGCCTTCTCCACCAACTCTTTCCATTTTTTAGATAATAAGTATAGATCCAACTACACCAACAAAGCAATTTACTAATTTAAATTCAACATGGTCATTAGCCTGACACCAATAAAAAATCGATCATCAATAAAACGAGAATCATATAGATTAAATAACAAGATTACCTTGTCTGCATCCTGCAGAACAGGGGTTATCAACCCACCATTGATTGCCACAGCTACTGCAATGTTAACGTTACTGTTATAAGTAAAGCTTTTCCCATCTTTACAGCTTGCATTCACAACTGGGTGCTGAACAAGTGTCATCGCCGCAGCTTTTGCCAGCAAAGCAGTCATTGTCACACCCTTCGGTTTAACCTGAAAATAACCATAATGATAACATCAAACAAGTTGAATTCATGCATCTCGTACCCCCAATAACCAAGTCAGTAAAATTACCATTACGAACAAAATGAACGGATTCATTCTAATAGTTAACACAATGTACCTTCTCGTATAATGCATCAAGAGCATCAGTTGTGAGGGGATACCCAACCCTAAAAGTTGGAACGGAAAGGCTCTCCACCATATTCTTTGAAACAGCCGCTTGCATTGAAGTAAATGGCACAACATTAGACCCCGGTAGCGGAGGAGGAGCCGAGGAACTCGCTGCAGCCATAACTGGCACAGCAGCGGCAGCAGGGGAAGCTGGACTCACACTCGGCTTTGAAACAGCAATTCCCGCAGCTGCCTCCACGTCAGCAGGAGTTATCCTTCCATACGGCCCCGTTCCAACCACTTTATTAATATCCACCTTATGCTGCCTAGCCAATTTCTTCGCAAATGGCGTGGCAATCGTTTTCCTCGGTCCCTCAGGTGCAGCCGGAGCAGGAGGAGGTTGCGGAATTGCAGGAGCGGGAGTGGAAGTATCAGGAGGAGAAATGGGAGTGGCAGGTGAACTCGAACCACCAGCTTTGGAGGCAGCTTTCGCCTTGGCTTCCGCAATTTCCTCTTCAGTTTCTGCTAAAAGTCCAATTGGAGCGCCAACTGGAGCGGTTTCGCCCTCTGGAACTACAATTGCGGCGAGAATGCCATCGTAGAAGGTCTCGACATCCATGTCGGCTTTATCGGATTCAACCACGACGACGCTTTCGCCTTTAGAGAGAACATCTCCTTCGGATTTAATCCAGGAGACGATCTTGCCCTCGGTCATGGTAGAGCTGAGAGCAGGCATGAAGATCTCGCGGATCTTGGCTTGGACTCTCAATGCATTTGGATTTCTTTTACGGTGGGAGAGTGTGGAGGGAGAGAAAGGGAAGGACGGGGAGAGGGAGGAGGAGAAGGAAATGGTTTTGTTTTTTATGGGGATTCTAGAGAGGAAGGGAGATGAAGCCATTTGGTTGAAGAGAGATTAGAGATTGAAACGGAGAATGTGCTAGTGAGAAAGAGAGGGGCGATGAAATGAGGGGAAATAGTGACTGGAAGAGCTAAAAAGTAGAAGGCAAGGGAAGGGGGCGGAGATGACGAGGTGATGAAGTTGGTTGGGAGAAAAGAGCTACCCCCGCTCTGTTTACATCGCCCGCTACCGTGGCTTTTCCCTTTAATTTTATTAGTCGTCAAGTTTGTTAGCACACAATGTTTTTTCATCTTTCGTGCACTTCTTTTTTCTCTCGCTCCTGTTGAGCTTAGCTTTCTTAGCTTCCCACTGTCAATTCGTTGGAAGTTCCAATTCCTCCGAATGTTATTTTCTTCCGTGGTTTTATATTGTAAATTGAGAGTTAGAGTTTGCATAGGAAGTGGTGATTATTTTTTAAAATATTTTTTATTTAAATATTTGTCATATTAATATGTTAAAATAATTTAAAAATATTCAAAATATATTAATTTAAACTAAATTAAAATTTTAAAAATATTTTTAAAACAAAAAAATAAACAAAGCTTTTTATTTAAACACTGCTTTAGCTATGGTGATTATGATTTGTGCAATAATATTTTTAAAATAAAAAAATAAACAAAGCTTTTTATTTAAATACTGCTTTAGCTGTGGTGATTATAATTTTTGCAGTAAAGTAAAAAATTCATTAGTAAGGTCTCGATATATAATACTTGCATTAAAATTAGTAATTAATAAAATATTTAAAAGCATGATTTCATTAAAAATATTTTTAATTTTTTTTAATTTCATTCTTTTTTAATATTATATTATCTTAGTAATTATGATTTATGATTTTTTTTAATTAATCTCAACCTTGAAAAATAGATCTTTTAGCTTTGTAAATTTTTTATTTATTTTTTATAAATTTATCTCAATTTT